GGAGTTTTGATGTGGATCTGTTGCAAGCATCCTCCTTTCCTGTTCAGTAGGAAGCATCCTGTCATTGTCCCTGCAGACGTGTCATGGTAGGGGCATGTTACTTGCTCTCACGGGGAGTTTCGAGGCTGGAAGGCCTCGGTTTCCTTTTAATTTTCAGGATGTAAGATACTTGTGGAGAATCTTGCCTTGGGCACAGGGCTGCACGCTCTAAAATACTCTTTCCTGTGCTCACCGAATCAACCTTCCTGGATACTTACTATCAATCCCAGGTTCTGTATTTTTTGTGCATTTTAAACAGCCTTGTGTTTCTCCTTCATTATTTATGACTTGTTTTTCAGTTTTCTTGTTTTGTTTGCTTATAAAAATAAAATACGCCTAAAAGGTTTAAATTCCACCCCTTCTCTTCTCCTATAAACAAAAAAAACCCAAAACCCATGCACAAAACCCAAACAACAGTGTGTGTCCAGCACAGCAATTTTATTTTGGTTAGCAGTTCCCCTTTGCACTCAGTTAGGTTGCCTGGTTTTGTTTTTTGGGACAGACTGATAGTAGCTGTTGGGAAAACGTAAATCTCACCCACAACATAATGGAGGCACTGGAAATACTTCTCATAGTCCTGTTGCGTTCTACAATGTTGGTTTGGTTACATAAAAGCATGATTTGTTCTCAATTCTCTTTTCTCTTTTGGGGAAGGTGAGAGTGCTGAGGGATTCATCCATACATTCTGTCCGTAGATCATGGCTAAAAACTTCTTCCTGTTCAAGCAATAGTACTGACTGTAATAACGGTGTATTATTTAGTGCTCTTCACTTGCCTCTTCAGTCTCAGCAAAGGCAAGTAGCTTTGATGAAATGCTTACACTGCCTCTGCTGGTGCTGGCGATCCCGGCTGAATTCTTTCCCATACTTTGGGGTGACACAGTACAGCCTGAAAGTCTGCTTCCTAGTTACATTTTTGATCATACTTTGTCTGGATTTGTGTCTGTGCTGCTTGTGGCTTGCTTGTTCTTCTGCATTTCTTTCTTTCTTCTCTTGGAAGTTGTGCAGGATCGACCTCCTGCAGTTCAATCAAACCAGGGGAAATGCAAGCCAGTATCTCACATGGAAACAAATTTTGTCTCCGATGCAATTCCAGCATGTTTTTCTAGGGAAATTTAAATGAGATGTTTTATTCATAGAAAATCAGTATTGCTCTGTTCTCTTCCAATTCTAGTAGTCCTGGATGAGTGCAGGAGGTCATCTGCAGATTTAGAGTCATTGCAAGAGCAGTAAGTTTATATGCAAGTTTAATATTTCACTGTACTACAGTACTGAACATTAGAAACTTTTGCGAATGTAACGTGGTTTGTATTGAGTTGCCAGCAGGAGAACGAATTTGAAATTCCTGTGGAGGATGTATGATTAGCTAGAGTCAAAAGCACGGAAACCAAGTAAAGATGCATTGCAAAAGGAGCACACAGGAAGCGGGACAGACAGAAACTTTTTTTTTCTTGTCTCATTCCCAACAGAGAACCAGAGCAGGAGCTTCTACTTTAGCACCTGCTCTGACTTCCTCCTTCAGTAACAGGCCTGGTTATTTTTGTAACCCTTTGTGGTTGGGTTTCTTTTTTTTTTTCTTCTCTGGATTTGGAGAGTTCATGAATTCACTGGTGCCACCTTGAAACAGCTTTCTTTACTGAGTGAATGTTATGCTGTATTCTCTAGCATCCCAGGAACAGATTTACAGTTTGGTTTTTTTTTTTTTTATTGCAGTAGTAGGTTATCATTTGTCACTTGAGTGACCATGCTACTTTGCATACAAACAGCTCCCTTTAGGAGTGTGAGGATAGCTTATAGCGATTTTATCTTCCTCTGAGGAGTTACAAGGTTTACTAAATAGTTTGTAGAGAAATAGACTTAGAGACAAAGATGGTAGATAAATAATGCAAGATCGGACAAATGTGAGCGACAGAGATGGGAACAGAATTTAGCAGTCCTCTCGCCTCCTCTCCCGCAAATGTGAGCCTGCGCTCGCTGCCTTGCCCTGAGCTTCCTGCCCCTTCCCTTGTGGCAGTGCAAAAGTGTCTGTCTGTCTGTCTGCAAGGCATCAGAACTGGGAAGGGATCTAGACTTAAACTTGCTTCATTCACCCTGCCTGCAAAGTTAAAATTAACCATGAGCAACTCTCTAATCCATGTTACCGTGTAGCTGCCCAAGTGCTTGTGCAGGCACTGGCCATGGGGCAGCCTGGGCTGGCAGGGGAGAGAGGCTAAAATTGCTTCCTTTGACGTGAGCTTAAATGTTTGTGCTTAGTTCGGTGGAAACTCTTCCTTACAGGGGAGCCTAAGGACATCATTATTACAGTGTAGTTAAATCCTGTTAGTTTAATTATATAGTACACTTTAAAGCCTTAAGAAACACTTGGATAGTATTTTAGAATGAAGCAAAAATATACATAATATATTTAACAGTGAATGCAATTAATTCAAGATTTAATGTTGTGTTTAGGAAAAAAAACTGCAAACACTTTTGAAAAATAACTCGTGATGTAACTTTGCAGAGGATTTTTTTTTTTATATGTAAGACAGTAATATACAGAGGATATGATTTGTTTGTCTTAAGGTTATAGTATTTAACTGTTCTTCTGTTATCTGCTGTGATTTGGTATTGATTATTCATTCCCTTACTGACATGCTGATTTCATACAGTGTATGTGACATAAGACCAGCTCTGGCTCTTTCTATTCCGCTTCCTGTTTCCCAGCTGTGTGGACACTTTTTATTTTTCTCATTTGCTCCCCCTTCCTCCTCAGTCTGTTTGAGGATAGCTCACCTTTCTCCCAAAACTATTGCATCTAGCTTGGCAGGTAATTCTGTCAGTGTGATTTATTTTCTTTCACCTGGGCTTTCTTGTTATAATGTCCTGGTTTGTGGGGTTTTGTTGTTTGTTTGTTCATTTGTCCTTTGAGAAAGGAATAGAAATAAGCACCTCAACACTCCTGTTGGGTGTTTCTCGGTTATCCTCTTTATTCCTATTTAACTTTTTTTGTTAAAATGATTAACTAAGGGATTTGTTACAGCCTCATTAAGCAGCTCTTTCTTAGGACTAGCTTTTTGCCATCCCAGGGTCCTGAGGCAAATCATAACTATTCCAGCCACCGCACTTGTGTGAACACGTTATTTAATTGAACTCTGACTTGGGCCAACTAGGAATTCGGATCTCCCCCCCTTTCCCCGCAAGCTGTATTTTATGACTTTCAGAAGCACAAACGTGCAAAAGCTGTCAATCCCAGAGAAGTTCTTGCCAAGAAGACCTGGTTAAAGCATAAGTAACCAGGGCTATTTACTATGTGCTGGTGATAATGGGAAAACAAAGAGACGTAAGAAGGGGTTGTGAGAAAAATGGATATTCACAAGATGACTTCATGTGCCTTTTTTCCTAGGACAAAATCACTAATAGAATATACAAAATGTAAACAATTTATTATGGTATATATTTACAGAGTTCTTTGAGTTTCTTTTTGATGGTAATTCACTTTATTTGCTTGCACGTAGAAGCTGGATTTAAACAGGACACTTCAATCTCCTGTCTAATTTCATATGTTCATTTTGTCTGTGTAGGAGAGAGTTTAAGCTAGTTGTAAATTATGTGGGCAGATAGTTTTATGTTGAAAAGGGGGAAGTTACGTGTTTTAGAGGTAACCCACCAGAGGCTGTATCTATTCTTACTATTTATGATAGCTAAAGTAGACTGAAAGTTCTGAGAATTTGAGTTATATTATGTTTTATAATCTTTGCCCTGAAAATACCAGGATTCTCAAATTTGGTGATTCTCTACTCATGCCAAGAAATGTCTAGCATGTTCTGCGGGGTGATGTATTACCTTTCTTTCATTGTTGAAGTAGTTGACACAAAATTCTGCATGAAACAATTGCACTTGTGTGATGTTCCTATGCCAATTCACTGACATTTGCTTTTTCTTGTATCTTTTGTGATACTTCAGTACTCTTACTGCCTGGGGAACAGGGGATCACATATGCTGCCTGCACAAAACTTACCATACAGTGTCATCCAGGATTTAGCTCCAGTAGTTATCCCAGTAGCTTGAGTAAAAACACTTCTTTTCCAGAAGAAGTTTGAGTTTGTTTTTACAGTTCTTTTAAGTTAGCTGTGGCAAACTACTTGACAACTTTAGTGGGAAAAAACCAGCAGTCATTTTCTTTAAATAAATAAACTCAGTTAATGGTAGGATACTAGTGGAAGTTGCATACTAAAATACTGCATTGCATTGTCTCTGTTGCTTAAACTTACTGGATATTAACATTATTTGTTGAGTGGTATTGTTATGTCATTCATTTATTTAATATGTAGGTTGAGTAAAGTTTGCTGATACCAGTGATGAATTTAGCATAATGAATTTAAGCTAATCACAATGTCAAGTACCAGGAGGCATATCTTTTGTGTTAGAAAATATCTATTTGTAAACAGCAGTAAGAGTGACCTAACTATACTATACTGACACAGCTATATTTATAGAATAGCTTGAATAAAAGAAATCTAAACTACTTAGTTGGTTTTTTGGGCAGTGACTTGATACTTAGCTGGCCATTGCTGGATGGTGTTTTATTAGATTCCAATTGTTAGCAAACGATATTCATGGAAGCTTGTGGGAGGAAGTGTGGTGTAAGAATTTGGATTCTTGCTGGTGGAGTTACTGGAATTCTTTACAAATCTGTAATCTGCATTAACTGATACAGTTTGGTAGTTTCTCCAGCTCTGGGTTTTATAATACAGAACAGAAAACTAGCTTAGTCTAGGAATAGCCAGTCAACATAGGTCGTACTGGTTTGGGCAAGTTCTGTAGTTACACAAATAAGCTGATGTGAAACTGGATGGATATAATCAGATATCTTCTGAAAGCAACTGAGATGCTTGCAACATGAGGCAGAGCAGCTGTCAAAAATGTTCTTGTGCAAATGTGGTTATCTTTATTTTTGGACTAACCAGCATTTTGTCTTCACAGCAGCTATACTTCTGAATGGAAGTGGCTTGCAGACAGAGCTAGAATTGGCAGCCGTTGGACATGGCTTCAAGCCCAGATTTCAGAACTAGAATACAAAATTCAACAACTAACTGACCTTCACAGGCAGATACGTGCCACCAAGGTATTGTCTGTAAGCTCATAAATGGGCTTTTCAAATAATCTTTTGACAGTGTTTCTTGCAATATTTATTTATTTGATCTCTTGTTGTTGTTGTTGTTGTTGTTGTTGTTTGTTTTGCCCTAGAGTTCTTGTATCCGCGCAGGCTATCGCATGCAAAGGTTAATGAGAAAGACATCAGGAGGTAAAAACTATTGTACCCTAGAGGCATCAGTACAGGACTGGGAGTTGGGAACTCTTACCTTCCTATCTGTGATAGTTAGTGACTTTGTTAGTGACTTTCAGGGGCCCAGCACAAGGTACTGCAAGGTACTGCATTTATCACACACTGCAGAAGAGGCAAGATTTGGTTTTCAGGTGAGGTGGTAGGTTATTCATTTTTGTGTTGTGGGGTTTCAGGGTGGGTTTTTTTGTTATTTACAGTGCATGTTTATTCTGAGGATTAGCTAGTTAATGTTTCTACAGCACTTTGAACAGGTCAAGGATTAATTATTACTAAAATTCCAATGTGTGTAACTCATGTACTAGTTTTTGTAAATCGAACTGGCTAGACAGTGGGAAAGTCACATTCCTAAAACATTAATAATCTATCTATCAATTTAATGGGTTCCCCAGGTCATTCTCATATGCAAGAAGCCAAAACCTGTGATAATTCTGGTGGTGTGATAGTGAGAGGTTTTAGAGGAGGGCTCTTTGATTCTCCATTGATGAGCTTCATGTAGGTTGTCTGATCTATGCTGGGGTCAGATAAGCACAGATGGAGAGGAGCCAGAAGATGCTTTAGACTTTATGTGGCTGACCTAGAGGGAGTTAAAAAGGAGAGGAGAAATCACCCCTGAGAGCATTTCCGTCTGATGACATAAAGAAAAATTATTCCCTCTTCTCCTTTCGCCCTCAAAACCATTCTTTTCATACTCAGCTTTGTCTCTCCTGCTCACAACTTTTCCCCAGTCAGGTTTTTCTTTAAAAAATAATTGAAGAGCCTTTGTTTGTGCGTCTGTCCTGCCTCTGTGCCCATGGAAGTGAAAGGAGATTTCGCGTTTGGTGAAGGGTGAGAATGCCCATATTTTAGTGTTGTCCTAAATACCAGGTACTTGCACGCTGTTACACCCAAAAGCTATCAGCCTTTAGGGTGGCATAGGTCTCATGAGCTGCAGAACACAGAGAAATAAATGACAGAGAAATGAGAGAAAGAACGTTCTTTTAGTCATGCATTTTCTTCACATTAGGTGGTATGTTGGCTTGGAGCCTAGTCATCTTCCTGGTGGAGATCTTTAGTGACATTCCTTTTTGCAAACTTCATGCCCCTTTTACCAGCTGTGGTATTCAGTATTTTGCATTGTGTCCCATAGTGAAGGTAGACTCATATTTTCTTCGGCTGTGATTTTTTTGTATACGTGTTTGTAGTACACCAGTGCAGCAGCTATGGAAGGACACGTGGGCTGGTAGAAGAGCTCTTTGTTTTCATTTAGTGGCTGCAAAGTAGTTACACAATATCATTAGAATTTGTATGCTGTGTTTAATGGTTTCAGAGTGTTTTTCGTGTGTTTTGAGTGGAAAAAAATGTGATTTATAGCCAGTGAACAATGATTTCAAGCAAAATGCCACTCCTCTAACACCATAATGCAATAGGAAGGGAGATGGTTAACTTGTGGGCAGTTTCCTGCCCTACTACATTGTGTCTTCTCATCTCTATGCACACAGTAGTAGCAGCTCTGGGTCTTTGAGAGTTCTTCCATTTAAAAAAATGTATGTCTGCGAAACAAAACAATTCCATTTAAGGGGGGAGGAGGGAGTTCATTGTAAAAACCTACTGGTTATAACCCGTTTAACTTACAATTCCTATATAGTCAGTATTAGTCTTCTAATTCTTTACTCTTCCTTTTTTCTTCTGTGCCTATTCCATCTCTCCCTTTTCATACAATCTGTCAATTTTCTCCTTTTTCTGCTTTCCTCTTTTGGTGCTTGTCAACAGGATTTGGCAACTTAAATAAAATTCCGGGGGG